TTTCTTTTTCTTTTTCTTTTTCTTTTTCTTTTTCTTTTCTTTCTTTCTTTCTTTCTTTTTTTTGCATACCTTAGGCATCCCCTTCTCCATTTCTGAATTTCAAAGGACAGTTTTTCAAAGGTTGAATAAGCAGCAAAATGGATGTGTATAAACTTTCACTAGGCTTAGGCTCCCTGCTTTGCTTTAAAATGGGGGAGACCCACCTCCCTAAATGGATTCCAATAAGCCTACTGTATGTTGAAAGGCTATGCAAATAATTTGATTTAGAGGTTTGATTCAGGGATGGTTTAGACTCTCTGAATTGACTTCAGGTATCACGTGGTGTCAGATACCTCTGAATTGAAAGACTATAGACCACTCAGCCACACAAAGTTTTCCCAATCTCTTCAGTGCATTGAATCAATGTGTGATTTGACCGTGCAAATTGGATCCTCAAACTTTCCATTTATCAAAGCACGAATGCAAATTATTTCAATCTGACTTTTCCATTTGGATAACTGAATGAGATCAGATCAAAGTTGATGCGTACACCCTTGCTATGTTGGGTTCATAGCTCTGTTAAGCAAAGTTATGGTTTACATGCAGGAACGCCATAGACTCATATCTGATATCTCTAGGCAGATCTTGAGTTGAGCTGCTGCCAAGGAATACTTGCATTATATTAAGAGAGAGCGAGAGAGACCGAGACCTTGAGCCAGATAGCATGTATCTCTGTGTATGATGTCCTAAAATTAGTTGATTCCAGCATTCCTCTGTAGAACATCCGAGCAACTTCCTCAGACATGGAGAAGTTTTCCTTTCTTATATCACTGATGCATTTGATCTGGGTTAATGCCTATAATTGTGGAGAACCATGGTGTGGGTAGAGAATTGACCTATCCCAATCACCATGAGATAAACCCTTAAAATAACTCACTGTGCTTGGTTGATGTCAGTTGCCCCCATTGATAGAAATTGGTGAAGAGGAAAGGTATGAGATAATGGTGATACAATTGCAACACTTGTCACACAAATAGTTCAAAGTTCCTTATCAGCAGTTAAGGGTAAATTTAGTAAGCTTTGAGACATATGTATATGTGTGTTTGCTTTGTTGAATCATGTTTTGTTGTCATGCTGGGACTGACTCAAGGCTACCACAAGCAAGAGTTTGCAAGTAGGACTGGACATGTGACATATTTTTTTGTGAACTCTGTTGTGAATTGTCCTATATCCTGAAGCAAATCATACATGGCAGTTTAGTTAACTAGGCTTGGCTAAGGAGTCCGCCAAAGCAACTTACAAAACTAAATGTGAGGGAAAGTAATAAAACATCATGAACACAACAAAAGCAAGAATGCTGAAAGGTTCAAAGTCATGTTGTGACCCAGAGAGTTAAAGAGGGCAATAAGATCCCAGCATCCAAGCAGCTACTTTGGTCCCAGTTGAGTAAAAGTCTTGTCAATTAGTGAAAAATTTACAGTTTCTGAGCCAGAAAAATGTCCTTGGGATGACTAGACATATCTATGGATACAGTCTTGTGTTACCTCATTGCCAAAGAAGCTTGGCATTAGCCAATGGCTAGTTTACCTTGGGTGACTAGAGATTCTGTGGAAGCGAGTAAGTGGTTTGCTGCAAATTTCTCTGTTCTTCCTTGCCCAGACTGCTTGTTTTTCCTTCCAACTACAAAGGAAGGCATGTCCTTTCTTCACCATCCTAGGACATTTCTTTGGTCTCCTTTCCTCTTGTTTTATGGTAACCATGATGTGCCATCCTCTACCTAAGCTTGCAGCCTGGTTCCTCTTGGTCATATCTTTCCTCTTTCAATATTTATAATTAGAGAGAGACCAGGATTTCGGGATAGAGACCTTCCTCTAGGTTTGGAAGGCCCTTCCTGCCTATAACTCTCAAATGTAACCTTTCCCTAATTTGGTGGCCCTCTAGAAGTTTGGAGTTCAGTTGCCTGAATTCCTCAGCCAGCATGGCCATTGCTAACAGTGGTGGGAATTGAAGACCATGCATCTGGAAGTCGAAAGATGGAAGCTGGTGAGGTGAGAACCCCTGATTCTCAGGCCAAAGGAAAATGTTTAAAGATAATTTTCTAACCATGACTGGTACAAAGCCTTATAAGGTGGTATCCAGGTTGAAGAAAGCTGATCTAGATTTTCTACCAGGTTTTGTAGATGAGGCTGAATGTCATTATTTATCTGATCTGGTAGGAAAAAGGTTGATTGGTCAGTAGTAGAGGACCCACTTACATGCAAAAGCTTCCAAGTACAATTCTCCAGTTATGGCTTGGAAACACCTGGAAAACTCAATAAAAATAGACTGGTGATCTAATTCTTGCGTTCCTGGGCAGCTGGAAATAAACTGTTGAGCATCATGGAATAATCTTTCTTTTCCCTCCCATTTTTATAGGATGGCTACTTTTCCCACCGGCCAAAGGAGAAGACACGAACCGATAGCAACAATGAGAACTCTGTCCCCAAGGACTTTGAAAATATTGACAATAGCAACTTTGCTCCCCGGACACAGAAGCAGAAGCATCATCCAGAACTGGTGAAAAAGCCCATCAATGCACAGAAGGAACGCTTACGGAGAAAACTAGAACAGGAGGAGAAAGCAAAAGAGAACTCCCTGCTTGGAAAGAACTCCAATGACCCCCTGCCATTGGACAATTCTGCCCCCAAGCCCGGCAACCATTTGAAGGACATACAGAAGTCCTCCCGACAGTCTCGTATGAAACGGGGTGGGAATGGTTCTCCTGAGCTCGGATATGATCAGCTGCCAAAATGTGACATCTCGGGCAAAGAGGCCCTCTCAGCCCTATCCAGGGCCAAGTCAAAGCAGTGTCGGCAAGAAATTGCCGAGATGTACTGTCAGCACAAGCAAGGGAAGCTGATGCCTGAGCAAGTGACTCGTTTCTGCCCACTGGAAGGTAAGCTGGAGGAGAAAAGGAAAAGGGTCTCCAACATGTCTGTTCCTACTTTATTTTTGATTGGTCACTTGAACAAAGACAGTTGCAGACATAGATGCAGACAGGATTTGCTACATCCTGACATTGCAGTGCTTGAAGAGGGGTGCAGGTCAAGTCACCAGACAGATGTGGCCCTACTCTAGAGGTGAGGCAGAATTTTGCCCTGTTGGTCCTAATCTTGCCCCATTGCAGCTATAGCCCATGATTTACTCCATTCTGGAGACTCAGCCATCCCATCTGTAAGGGCATCATCACCATTGTATCAAAAGGCAAAAGGGAACAGAGAAACTCCAGTTTGTGAAAAGAAGATGCATTGGGAGGGACAATCTATTTAGGAATAGAGGGGGGCACTCAAGTGACCCAACGCCTGCAACCAGAGATGATCAGTGCCTGCTTTTGCTTAGATGAAAGCTGCAGGTTTTCAATATAAACAGCTCTGCTCAAAAGCAGTCAGAAATTAGAATTGGGTTCTGCTTTGGAGTAGTGGTGAAGGGATCAGGCTAGAAACCAGGAGATTGTGAGTTCTAGTCCTACCTTAGGCACAAAGCCAGCTGGGTGACCTTGGGCCAGTCCCTCTCTCTCAGCCCTGGAAAGAAAGCAAGGGACAACCACTTTTGAAATCTTGCCAAGGAAACTGCAAGGACTTGTCCAGGCAGTCACCAGGAGTCAAGACTGACTCGAAGGCATCAAAAAAACAAAAAGAACTTGGGGGAATTTGAACCCTGGATTGACCAGGGACTAAAACTTTCCCATTTAATTCCATTGTGAGGGCCTCTGCTAACTTTGACCTTGGATGGTCAATAGCTTTGCCTTTCAGCTAGGGCAAAGCTATGCCAGAATCAATCTTCCCATTTGCCAAAGGTTTCCTGCAAAAATAAAGTTAAATCTCACCAAACATTATGAATGGAAGAAGAAGGAAGAACCCAAACTAGGGTCTGATACCTTCATCTTTTTATTGTTGAATTCTGCCTGGTTCACGTTACTGTGGCTTCCCTTTCCTTTGGCATATTTAAATGGCTGGGGCAATTTTCATTTAGTCTTGTCTCTAGGGATAATGGATAGTACAGAGAAACCAACTGGGGTGTAATATTTAGTATTTATTCCTGCTCTCATGCTGGTAGCAAATTAGTTTGCCAGACTTCATCATATGTCCTCAGCAGGCACATATGTAATTAAAAAGAATGTGCGTTGGGTTCACAGTAGCACAGAGCTTTTCCAGCTGTAAAAAGTCCATATGCTCCTTTGGGAATGCAGACCAGAGCAATGTAATTATGGTAGGGCTAAATACGTGTAGGGATTTTTTTTTCCTTAAGTGATTTCTAATCAAAGGGAGCAAAGTTAACTCTTCTTGTACTGGGTTTTGGAGTTGTATGTAATTTTTGTTCCTCTGTGTGTTATCATGCTTGTCAAAAATCACCCTGCTGACATTTCATGATTATTTCAAAAATTAAAAGTATACAGGGAGGAGGATTTTGAATTCCAGAAAGGTTCAGTTGGCTGTGAACGTTGCTGTTTGCCCTGGTAGGGGGAAGACATGGTTGAAAAATACCCTGCCAATTCTTTTCCCAAGCCTCTTTTTCCAAATCTTAAAGACACATCAGAATGATTTGGAAAGCAAATTTGCAAAACTCAGTGCAAAAATTGTGGCTATCTGCTTCAAATCAAGAGAGGCCATTTTGGTGTCTTCCAGGTGTCACAGACTTCAGCTTTTATCAATCCTAAACAGTGTGCCCAATGGCCCGTAATTGTATGAGTTGTAGACCAAAAGGTTCTGAAGGACCCCAGATGGTCTACCTTTACATGTAGAGCTGTGAGAATAACCTTGGGAGATGGGAGGAAGAGCCACAGCCTAGACAGTGGTCAGGCAAGAGATATCTCAGCCCACAGAAGGAATGGGGATGGAGAAAGCACCTCAGAAGGGACCCTCCCTTCTTTGGAAAGTAAAGGCAAGGGAGGGGAGAAAGGCTTTCAGACTTGCAAGATTCTGTTATTGTAACCTTACAATAAATGTAGTGTTAGTACTCCTAGTTTTGGTTTCCTGTCTGGGCTACCTCAAAGGGCTGACACTTTATATAAACCAGACGGTTACACAGCCTTAAAAGCAACTATTGGCCTTGACGGATCAATAGGCCTTGTAAATCAGTGTGAGAACTTCCTTGAAAGGCTTGCTTAAAAGGATTACCATCTGGTTAAAGAAATCCCAAGTCTGTGTGAGTGTGTTAATGAAGTCTGAATACATTTGCATATGAATATCGGCAGCTTTGATGGAGGTGAGAAGATCACCGTATGGTTTTTCAGGCACTGCCTGCCTTACGGTGTAGCAAGATCTAGCATCCTTATGTATGGGTTAGAGCAGGCCTCCTTTAATCAGATGTTCTCCCCATATGTTGTGACTACAGTACTAAGAATTTCCAAGCCAAAAGGGCCAGTGAAATTCCACAATTCTGAAGCATTGTGGGAAATTGAAATAGCAGCTAAATCCTCTCATCACGGCTTGAAGCCCCATTATTATTGGTGGGTAAGTCCACCAAGTCTAGTCCTGGTTGACAGAGTAGAACCAGAGAGATTTGACTAGGTCTGCAATTCCTCATACGGGGTAGAAGATCTTCCTTCCAGAAGCAGTTTCAAAGAGGAAAGCTTGATTGGGAGCTTTGCAAGCCCTAATTGCTGATTTTAAGCCATGGGGGCCTCCAGGTCCAGCTCCAACCTTTCACCTTATCTGCTGCCAATTTTCAGTAAATAAAATTAAAACTGCATGTGGATATGGGTCAATTAATCTATAAAAAAAGAAAGTATGGTTTTAAAAAATGGTTATACTGTTCACATGTCCACTTTCCATCTTGGTGTCAGCCACTTTTCCCTTTGTACTATCCACATCTGGGTCCTTCCTGAATGTGTTTCACTAGACAGAGAAACAGCTGTTGTAATTGAGTCCATCTGGTCGTCCTCTTCTTCTGTTTCTTCCACCTTTCCTGGCATTATGGACTTCTCCAGAGAGTTATGTCTTCTCATAATGTGCCCAGCATACAATCAGTTGAGTCTGGTCATGTAGGTCTTGTGAGAACTCTGGGTTGATTTATTTGATGATCCATTCATTGGTTTTCTTGGCTGTCCATGGTATTCTCAGGAATCTTCTCCAACGCAAAAGTTCAAAGGCATCAAAACTCTTTCATTTTTCTCTACCTGCTCCCCACTTTTTCCCTAATTCACTTTGATCCGCACTGGCTTTGCAGTCCCTTGCACATGTGTTTCCAATGAGTGACTTCCTTGCAGCACAGCAGAATCCCAAATTTCACAGTGCTGGGAAGACAAAGCAAGCTAGCTTTGTAACATTCTAGGAGGCAACCCTTCAACTAAGCCTCCTATGTTTTTAGCAGCATGACAGCTCCACCAGCCCTTCACATGGCACAGCTATCCTTTTTCAGTCATTTAAACTTAAGGAAGTGTGACCAAACAATTGAAACATTTGGGAGAGGAGATAAACTGGGTGTATAGGAAGCCTCTTCTGGAAATCTTCTCAACAATTGGTTGGCCAAGGAGTTTTTGGATGTGAGAGATTGTGTGAGATCTAACTTATGAGAGGGGGGAATATTTCCAAATGCTTCTCCCTCTCTCCCCTCATACCATGTTTAAAATAGCCTGGAACAGACTGAGTTTTATGGGATGAAGGAGGCTCAAATTTATTCTGCACTTTTCTGATCAAGTTTGCATGCATCCATATGCCTACATAAAAAGAAATAATCTCTTAATCTTCTTTTCTCCATAATGGCAAATTTGACCAGCACTGATGATGTTACTTAGTCAGGTAATGAAATGTCTGCAACCAAACAACCAAGCTCAGAGAGCACCAGAGACTCCACAAATTTGACCTAGTGCTGGGGAGATGTAATGTGGTGATTTTCTCATTTTTAACATTCAAGATTTAGCCACCTTGTACAATGATAGATCTGGAAAATGCCCTTCAAAAGCCTGGGGTCATACAGTCCCTCTACTTCTGTTCCAGGGAGTCTTATCTCAGTAAGAAAGGGAGCTCAGAAAGTGCCCATAGCAGAATGGCATAGCCCTTGCTTTACATTCAGCTTATTCCATCTCCATAGCTGGAGATGGAAGAGATCTCAAGTAGAGACCTTGCCAATCAGAGTGCTCAGCCCAGAGTGGACTGGATAGTCAAATCATCTGGGCTCAGATAAGTCTGCCTTCATTATAACAACTGAAGAACTTAGTTCAGAACTTGACATCCCAGCCTCTAGAACAAGACTTCCCCAGCTTGGCACTTTCCATATGTGTCATGGCCCAGGCTCAGGACTCAGATTCATGAATCTGAATCTGACCCTGAAGAAGCTGCTCCAGCTGAGCCTATGGAATGTCAGCCTCAGGAGAGACAGCCAGGAATCACATGAGGCTGATCAATCACAGGCACCACCTGAGCATGAGGATGACGTAAGGCCTCCCAGACCACACACCCGATGAGTGGAAAGAGAGCAGAGCAGCGAAGATCCATTAGGCTCCTTGCCAAGCAAGGGAGTGAATCTCCTGATTGGTGACAGCTGGCTGCAGCCTTATTTAAGAAGCAGCTCTGAGCTGTGCTCTCTTTGCCGGAAACAATGTCTGACCTCCAGCTCTTGTGTAACGTTCCTGCAAATCCTGTCTGTGTTTGAAACCTTGAACTCTGACCTCTGGACTGGCTGACAACCCTGACCTGGCTCTTGGAACCCTGGATTTGGATTTGGATTTGGATTTGGACTGCTCTTTTGTGCACTCCTCTTTAGAAAGCAAACTCTTCAGGGAAGCCTCAGTTTTGTTTACAATCCTTTGTTTGCTGTGATGTCTTCAGCCTTGGAGTAAAATGGCTAAACTCCATAAATAACTGTGTGTGAGTGGTTGAGACCTGAAACAGGACAATGTGTGTTGGGTCTACAGCTACTAGAATTCCCAGCCTAGCCAGAAATTATGGAAGTTCT